AAGAAAACTTATATTTTAAAGTGTGGTTTAATTTTCCGACTCCTAGCTGATCATGGTCGTGAGCTATTAATTAATTATTATTAATGGCATTTTCATTAATTAACTCATATCTCCGTCCAAAAGGCGCATGGGCCCAAACCAACTTGGGGTTTTTCACTGCTGACTATTCCCTACATGATGAAAATAGTCTGAGTCGAAAAGCTTTTAATCACCTCGAGAGGTTCCTTCGTCAGTCATATGATTCAATCAATAACTGGTTTTTATTTATTCTTTTTAGCGTTTCTAATTGTTCGGTATGATTTTCTTAATGTCAAAAAAAAAATGTTTTTCTTTTCACTAACAATGCCAGATTTCTTTTTCATTTGCTCATCGGGATAATACTAAACTAATTTTACAAATTTATTAAGTATCTAAGACAAAGTGAAATCAATTTTAAGTTTCGCACGATTATTGATTTTAGCATGTTTTTTTATTTTTTGCAAGTTAATTCTGCTGTAGCAAGAAAATAACAAACAACCGACACGATTAACCTTTTATAAAAAGTTTTTTAGAATAATAGTATTACTTATTCACAATTACTCTTCTATGTATTTTGTTTAAATTTCTTGACTTGAATAGTAACTGAAGTGATGCATCAACTGTGAATTATAAGAAAGTAAAAATCTGACGAAATATTTTAATTTTAAAAAGATTTAAAAAATCATAGATACAAACTTTATTATAAAACATAATATTTCTATTATCATTCTTGTTTCACAGTATGTTGAATAACAGTTAACCGCTGTAATAATTTCTCTTTGTAAGTTTTTCGTGCATAATAAATCAACATCTCTTTAATTTAGATATGCTATACTTGAAGATGGTAGTTTATTGATTCGCGAAGCGTCAGCTAGTGATAGTGGTATTTATACGTGTAATGCAACAAATAAATACGGTTTTGATAGTAGTAGTGGAACATTAAATGTGAAGCGAAAAACTCGAATACAAACAAAGCCAGGTGATCAAGAAGTTAGAAGAGGTTACTATGCAATATTTCGTTGTACGGCTATAGCTGATGATAGTTTAACATACAGTATTGATTGGTACAAGGATGGAAGATTATTAGCTTACACAGGTTAGCAAGCAAATGTATATTATTTTTACTATGGCGATGAAATGAAGTCTGAATTTTTCTCAGACACTAATCAGAAGAATAATAAAAGTATATATCCTTCTTTTACTCTTCTTCTAGGTCGATTTATTAAGGATACTGCTGATCAAAATACACTAAAAATTGTTGATGTTCAATTTGATGACGGTGGCTCCTATATCTGTCGTGCAAGTACAGAACTGGATTCAGATGATGCTAGTGCAACACTTGTCGTTCAAGATAGACCAAATAGGCCAAGAATAACCAGAGTAAATTGTAGTGGAACAACACAAAATAGTTTTGGACAACCTTTCGCAATTGTTAATTGGGAAGCAACCGGTAGGATATAAAATGTGTTTATTTTCGTAGATGTATATAACTGATTTGAAAAAACTCATTTTCGATTAGTTTTTCGTTTATATACACTTTGAAAGTGCATTTTTAGGTGATAACAATGCTCGTATTCTTTATTACGAATTACAATACAATACAACATTTACTCAAAGTGATTGGATATCTGTGCCTATAGAACAAAGACGGGAATCATATAATGAAATTCGATCACAGGATGGTTCAATAAGACTGGAACCGAAAACAACAGGTGAGAAATATCTTATTCTAAATAAGTTATTATCTTTATAATTCTTCTTAACTTTTTGTTTATCTAGTATTTCGAACTACTCATCTTCCATCAAATCAAAACGATATTCGTGTTAGTCTTTCGTGTTGGGCTAATTATACGTTTCGTGTTATTGCTTATAATCGAGTTGGAGCAAGTAATCCTAGTCCAATAAGTGAGACAATGTGTACAACAACAACATGTCGACCACAACGAAATCCAGTCGGTGTTAAATCTTATACAACTCAATTTTCATTTTTAACCATTGAGTGGGATGTAAGTATTATTTTCTCTTTTAACTATATCTGTATTCTGCACACTGTTTATTGACTGTTAGAATAACAGTGCGTATTTCAATTATATAGAGTTTAAGTATCAAACTGGTATATTTCACTAAATAGTATCACCTTATGCTAATCAAAAGCTGGCGTGTATATTAGAAATGGGAGTCTAACGATTATTTTATTAGAATGTGTTTGTGTGTGACACAGTCGTTTCTTGCCATTTAGTCAATGCCAGAAATAAAATGGAACTCACCGAAATTTTGGTATGAAGTTGGCTGGAAACGATTAGATCAGCAACCGCCAGGTCCATTTAGAACGTTAAGAATTGATCCTCCGCAAAATATCTTAGTTGTGCCTGATGTTGTTCCCAACGTTCGATATCAATACTATGTTAAAGCCTACAATCAACAACCTGGAGGTAATAGACCCTGTCGTAAAAAATATATGCGTCCATTAATAATGTATTTTGTTGCTCTATAGAAACAAATGGTGGAGATGCAAATGAACCGATTACTTATCATACAGCATTTTCTGGAGATTCCGGTAATTATCATCCCGAGCATTTTTATTTTACAACAGCAACAACATCGCGATCGATGTTACTTTATCGGAAAAAAGCGAGACGGTGCCGACCAACGTATCGCTGCACAACCACTACCGTTCTGTATACCTAGAACTAGATTCTTCTGTTCTTATTATTGTCTTGAATTTTATTCTATATTTTCTATCCTATTGATTCTTTCAGATATTTTTGAAGAGTTTGCCTAAATTACTTTTATCCTTACTAACTGAGCTATTATATGTAGACTAGAAACTCCTTGACTTATTTTTTAACGAAAAAATTCGTTGTCTAAAGTTATCTTAGTGATAAAAAATTAAAGACGTTTGTAAATCTTATATTATGTTTATTTTGTTTTAAAAGAATAAAACTTCTTTAATAGAATCAGTCCCTATTATATGCATGTGTAATAGAATAACATCATTGTTTTATCAGATAGTATCTTATTATACCACGTTATTTTTTGTGATGGCATGTGTCTCTTCTTTACCTTTCACTGCATGGTTCACTTGTGTTTTTGTTTTATAGCACCATCATACATTCCAAGAAACTTTCGTGTTATAAACGTATTCGATGCAACGACAGTTCAATTTGCATGGGATCCACCAATATTAATGGATGAACCAAACATCCGTGGCACTCTCAAAGGATATCAGGTTTTGCTATCTTGCTATTTTACTTTATGAAATGCATGCTAGCTACATATTTAGAAGCACGTTTCATTCTGACGCTTTTGAAAACTTAAGTAATTAACTCTGTAATTAATTTAGATCGAAGTATTTCGTGCGGATGATCCCGATAATTCTTTACGTATCACTCGTGATATTTTACCAAATGCAACGATGACTACTATTTTCAATGCACCACCAAATTCTGATGTTTTAGCAAGAATCAGAATTGAAACAGAACGATATCTTGGGCCAACTAGTCCGACGGTAAGCAAATAATCAAACACTAATAAAACACTTGTATTGTTTGTATTACTTTTCTCAGGTTCAATTTCCAACGCCTGAAGGTCGACCAGGACCTGTAACAAATTTAAGAGCTGTTCCATATAGCGGTAATGGTATTTATTTATTTTGGAATGCACCGGATGAGCCAAATGGACATATTGAAGGTTATCAGATTGATTATAAAACAATTGAAAGGTAAGCAAAGAAAAGAATGAACAGCTAATAGGCTATATTTGAGAGAAGCAGCCATAATTGTCGAAGAAAATAACTATTTATTCTTTATTAGATAACATACTCTAAGTTTCGGTCTCTTCTAACAGTCATTTTCAAGAGAAATAACAATTCAACTTTTCTCATTTTTAGTTGTAACGATACATAATCACGATAAAATCGCTAAGTAGACGGCTCATACTGCTGCCGGAATATATTTCTCTTGATTAATACTATTCAATTACAGCTAATATGCCCTTTTGACTGCTTTAATATTGTATTAAGAATTGTTGATACAGTTAGTCTGGCAATGAAGTGAGTTTTACAACCGCTTATCAGTTACTAGAAACTTAAATAGAACTCATTTGTGGAAGAATCAAAAGGAGATACCAGGAGCAATTTTGACCTTTCTCAAGGATGTCGTCAGGTAGTTTCCTTCGAGAAAGATAATAGGTCTTCTGGTTTGGGGATGGAGTTGTGTTGCTTGTCGTGCCTTAATTCTGTCTTTCTTGAAGGAAACTACCTGACGAGATTATTTTAGTCCTAATTGTCGACTGAGTCTCTCCTACCACTAATCGTTTGTACGAATGAGATATGGAAATTTTTGAATAGAATCAGTACCGCATTTACGACTGACAGTTCAAAATTTTCAAAATCAGAAAAAAACCAGAAGACCTATTATATGCTCAATACTCACGAAATATTTACCTTTTATATAAATCTCCATCTTTCCCTTTCTCTGTAGTAGAAGAAAACGTCAGCTATTGCTGATGATGCCACTGGGTTCATGAAATGCACAAAATGTATCCTAGAAATGCTGAAAAATAAATTAAAATTAAGTAGAATAAGAAGATAAACACGGATGGGTGGACAATTGATTAATTAATCTTTTTCTTTCACCAGCAAGCACATATGTACGTGCATCATCTTTGAAAAACAGCACAAACGGACACATCTAACAACATCAAGAATAAATTGTCATTTTTCTTTGCTTGGCTTATATTTCGATTTTTATATCAGCGTTTTTTCCACAATATCCATGTTCTACAGTGCATGTTTAAAAAAAGTTGAAAAACAGAAAGCGATTAGTAAAAACTCTAAAAAAGGTGTAATAAATCAAAAGAGTTGCCAACCTTGAATGCATTGGTTATTTTGTTCATTCACCGCGAATGAAGCGATGTAGAATATTTCCTCATCTCTTCTCATTTAGTTAGGTATTAATGTTTATCGTAAAAATTAGGATTATTTATTATATGTTTCTTTACGATGTTTCCATCCGTGTCCTCCCGCTTCGTATACGACTGCAAGCCGGCAACATTTGACTATGCTCATCTTGTAGAGCGCGCCGAGTTATCTATATTTTCATGTTTTTCGCGTAAAAAAGAATCTTGTTTTTGAGAACCATGGCTCGCAGAAGTTGCTCTTTTCACATTAGGGAATCTCCGGAAGCTTGATTTTTCACTTCACTATAGGCTTTAAGATTTTTCGAATTGGCCGTTCGATAGAATACAAAAATTTGTACTTATGGTAAAATTTTCAACGTTATAAGTTAAAAGGGCACCATACGCCTCGGGTCCAGGACAAATAGAAACAGCAAAAAACGACACTTTTATAAAAAGTCGATCAAAACTTATCTAAATCCCAACTATTATATAGCCAAAATGTAGCGTAAACCTTGCCCTTTCTAACTGCAAAAGCATTAGTTTTTAACTGGTTTTGGTTTTTGAGTTTTAGGCTTCAGAAGATGATCTGAGATTTCCAAATGTTCTCAACTTGAGAGTCGGCCCGCTCAAAAACTGGCCATCAAAATTTCTTGAAACTTTTTTCTAAAATGTATGAACCTACTACAATAGTCCCCATATATCATTCGTACAAACGACCATTGGTAGGAAAAACCCAGTCGTCAACTACGATCAAAATGGTCCGCCTACATACATTTGTCATGTGCTTAAAATTCAGTTTTTTTCTGTTAGTTTCGACGAACTACAGGTAAGTTTTGTTGCTCAAGATTTTTACGGTATTAGTTTTCTGAAAAAAATTTAGGTTTTCCCAAATTTGCTAAGGAAAACCCGCTTTTTTTATTAAAAGCAACTTAAAAAACTACAAAAATAATTAAAAACAACTTTTTCAAGTAAATTGCTATTGAGAAAAGGAGGAGCCGAAGCAGATACACATATCACCATTAAAGACATGTTGAATCGACCTGAAACATTTCGCTTTGATTTGAAATTCACAATTCCTAAAAGCAGCACCCTAAGTCCCATATTTATGGGAAAATATAGCGAGTTTTCCTTAGCGAATTTGGAAAAACTTAGCCTAAAATTTTTTCAGAAAACTAATATCGTACAAATTTTCAGCATCAAAACTTACCTATAGTTCGTCGAAACTAACAGAAAAAAATTGAATTTTAAGCGCACGAAAAAATGCATGCAGGTAGGCCATTTTGATCCTAGATAGCGACTGGATCTTTCCTACCAGTAGTCGTTTGTACGACTTTTTATTAAAATATAGTTGACTTCCAAAGTTATCGGATATTAGCAGTGGAATACACTCATGAGCGGTGAAAAAGAGAAAAGACACTATATATTTGAAAATACGAACCCCCACAATGCGTCCTTTCCACTATTTGACTTATAAAAGCAAAGCTACTAGGAACTCCAATTCTAGTAGTATTGCGTAGATACTAGAGAAGTCGGGCTACATGTTGAAGAAAATTCACTTTTTTCACAGGCTAACACTGAGACTGTAAGGAGAACTCTGTGCGTGACTGCCATCGCGATTAACTAGCACTATTTTGTTGTCTTGTTTATATGATGAACATTTTGTATAATATTTCCGTTTGTTTTGTTTATTTGATTTAGTATTGTTGCTGAACCTGGGAATGATTTTCCATCAATTGATATTCGAGATGAGTTTCGTCGAAATTATTTATTAGGTGGTTTAAAACCGAATATAAAATATCGTATTCAAGTAAGAGCTCGAACATCTCGAGGTTTATCAGTATCTCCAGCAATAATTGAAATAACAACAAATCAAAGTTTAGGTATTTGAAAATATTTGAATGAGAGAGCTGTTATTTTGAAAGCTTTCTTTTCTATTCTTAGTTCCATCGAAGCCCTCGTTTGTTATATCAGCAGTAGGAAACACATTTTTCAATATATCGTTTAATCCAGATACAATGGCTGTGCCAGGCAGTGTATTTTTTGCACGTTACAAAGAAAATGATAAAGGTAAATGAAAATAACAAGAGAAGAAAATATTTCATAATGTAAACGAAACTACTTTTTTTATGTAGACGGTCAAGCGATATACAAGAAAACTTATGACGTTACAAATGAACGTACAATAGTGATTTCTCCGTTAGATCCAGGTCGTGACTATTTCGTATTTCTGGTTGCTTCTGATGGAATTAAAAGTGAAGTGGAGAGTGATAGACAATATATTAGAACAAGAGGAATGGGTAAGTGTTCAAGTTTGTAGATTACACATGAAAAAACTATTCAAATTATGATTATTCAACGTTAGTCACTAATACTACATTGAAATTCATTCCCTTGAAAATTTTTCGAATAAAAATAATAAATAATTATGCGAAATATGCGATATTAAGAATCATTTTTTTGAAAATGACTTTGAAAATCGAAAGTTAATAGCCAAGTTAAGAAGAGACTATTTAACACTATTTCGGTTGACACATTGGCCGGAAAAAATGGGCAATTATTATTTCTATTTCTTATTTCTTCGTCACTATCATTCTATTAATTTAAAAAATATAAATTGAATAATATTTTTCTAATAGTTCAAATATATATTTTTATAGTATTTTTCGTATAGATCTGTATATAACAAATGAGAGTCAATTACAAATTATCTGATTATCTAAAGGCACAGAACGAGATCATTTTGTTGTTTTTCTTTAATACCAAAATAATCTTATTATCTTTCGTAATAATCAACTCATCGTTTATTTTTCGCCTTCTTTTTTTTTATATCTCGTACAATGACATGGAATATAGACTTCAAAATAATGTTGTTTGTAGCACAACATTTTTAGCACGTGAGATTTAATGGAATTATTAAATGAATATTGATGATTGTCATCGTGGGTTCTTCAAACATCTTAGGTTGACTTTGAAACGAGATCAACCGTTGCGTTTTAGAATTCTAAAAAAATATTAGAATTCGTCAAGGTTGAACATACTATAGCAATTTTTTTCTAATTCTTGTTTCACATAACGGATAGAAATCCAATGTTATATTCTCTTAGGATAAAAAAAAAATAAAAAAGTCGACGAATAAAATATGATAAATCAAATCATCTCTTTTGTCTTTTTATCCATAACCACTTTTGAACTTGTAATGTCATTTGTTCTTTTCTTTCATCTATCATCAGTAATAGCCCATAATTCTTGTTCTTTGTTTGATTCAATGTACTGTGTTAGCTGATGCAAATATTTTCTACATCTGGTCTTACAAATGGAAAAGTTTTTCTGTTCTCTTTGACTTATTTATCCCCACTATTGTTAGCATGGATAGATATATAATAATAATAATAATAATAATTGTAATTTGAGAAAAAGAAGAAATAGAGAGAGAAAAATAACAACAATAGACAAGGTTGAGCTAATGAAGTAACAAGAGTAAGTTGTATAAATGAAAAATGTAACATTTTTTTTTATTATATCATCTTGTACCATCTCTTTATACTGGATGAGAAAGAGAAATAAAGAATAATTGATATCTTTAACGTTTAGTCGTATTAGCAGATATTTGTTGATGGATTCGACAATTCTATAGCTATGAAATCTCATTGCTAAACAATCATCTGAGCTTTGCATATACAACAAAAAACAAAAAAAATCATAGTTGGAGAAAAAACTAACACATATGTTTTGTATAGTAAAATATAATGTTCTACTATAAAAACATATTATCTGTTTAATCTGAAAATAATCATCAAGTTGTAATTCAGCGTGAGATAGTCAACTTCTTCGTCACATTTCTTTTACTTTTCTTCGCTAATTTTGTATTCAATGTTTTCGATGAAAAATTTTATGATTTTTTTTTTTTGAAACAAAGAATTTTAAGAGTTAAACTAAATATTCATCGTTTCTTTACATGTACTCAAATTTATTTAATATCTGAATAATACTTTACTATTAATTGAGGCATCTCACCTACTATACATATATTTTTTCACTTGCTACTTAAATACAACTAATTTTTTATGCAAATAACCGTAAATAAGCGAAAGAAATGACCGCATCGCTGTTTCCAGTTATTGTTATTATAGCAGAAAAAAAAAAGTCGAGTCAAGAGGGAGAACTATACATAAACCATAGTCTATATTCTATAGTAGCTATATTATTCGATACGAGAGAGAAAGGGAGAGAGAAAGAGAGAGAGAGAAATTGAAAATAGAGATCTTTTCTATTTGTTTAATTTGACCGATGTGCATAACGTAACTAAACAACAAAAAGAAAAGGAAAATCATCTAATAATAATAAAAACCAAGTAGGATATAAGAAAATAAAGTCGATGATCTCCTTTTTTTTCTCTCATATATATTTTTTTTTTCCTTTGTATAGAAATGATAGAGCAACGGAAACACTTAAAGGCTTTTCTTTTTGTGTGTATATGTGTGTGTGTGTATAATCACATCAAACGTTTTTTAGGTTCTAAGAAATAATAATAATGATGATAATTGTTAACAATATATAATAAATTTATTCTAGTAATAGTGAGATATAATGTTTGTTTGATTTCCTCATAAATATTAGTGTGTCTGTTTACAACTTAATTAACAATATGATATGATTCGTTTATGATCAATGACAAATGAGTTCTAACCAACAAAATAGATTTGAATATGTGTCGACGGATTCAAATACGATTATAAGTAATACAACAAAATCAGATTATCCAGTTGATCTTAATTGTACACTTCTAGACTGTTTTGGTGAGTTTAAATATCAAATATAAAAATAGATTTTTAAAATTTGTTCTAACTTGTTTTAAAAAAATATTAATATATATAATTTTAGTTAATTTTCTAGAAAAATATGCTTAACTAAAGGCGATGGTGTGTATGTGAACGCTTTTTTGTTATGATAAAAAAGTTCGTTGGTTTTTTTTTGCGATCCAGTAGCAGATTGTTTATTATAATAGTGAGATTTAGATAGTGATATACATTAAATGTACAATATCTCATTTTTCAACAACTCTACATTGAATAATCATTTAAAATAGTCCATCAAATCTCTTTACTCTATTCTTTTATATTTACATTCTAAAATGCGTTCCACCTTTTTCATATCATTATATCTATATAAAATTAAACAATTTTATGTATTCTAAATCAATTTCAACTTTGCATGTTCTATGTTGGATCGAATGATTACGCAATTCTACTATTTTTTTCGATTAGAATATATTCCCTCTGTCCCATTTGCACTTTGTTGAAAGTATCCATTTTTTTTTCTCTCTCTTATATTGATTTGTTGGCATATATTGTCATCAGATTGAAGATATTATTCATTGAGTCTCTTTAACTCTTATACGTTTTTTTGGAAAAAGGCTGCTTATGACAAGTTATGTGATGACGTTAGTAAAACAAAAAATACATTAATATTATTTTTTTGCGTATAAAAATACATTCTTTAGTTGAAGTGTACAGGAGAACAATAGTGGTAAAATCACGTGTATCTCTTGATACCACAGATGGAGAAATATTCTGTTACAAGTGGCAAATCTATGTTTTCTATTTCTCTCATCAGTTGAGGTGCACAAGTGTTAGCAGACTTATTTATAAGATTTTTATTTCAAGGTTAATTATATTGGAATAAAAATACATAGGCCAAATATCTTCTTCTGTTTGTTTTCTTCTGATACTCGCTCATTATATCATTGTGCAAACATTTTTTTTTCACAAATGATTGTACCGTGTGATGTGATTTCTAAGCCTTGATCTATTTTTATTTCTTTTTATTCTAGTATTTCATAGTATTGGAATGCTAGTTGATTAATTACTTTTTTAATGATCATTTGTCATTCTTCTAATATGTCGCAAATGACAAGTTCGACATTAGTTATTTTAATTTCTATTCTTTTCAGAAGAAAACAGAGCACCTGTCAGTTATATCTGTATATATAAAATTTAAATATTTCCTTCTAATAATTGTTTCTATAGAAAATAGAGCACAAATTATTGTTATACGAAATATTTATTCCTAAATGGCATATTCTACAATTTTTTCTATTGTATCCGCTTACGTTAAATGGAATGTTTTACATAGTTTTACAGTAAAATATCCCATTAAGTACTTTGAGATGATGATTTATATCATATTATTCAGTTTATTAGAGTGAGGTATTTTACAAAATATATTGTACAGAGAAAAAGTTGATTATATTAAATTATTGAGTTTCATCAACAACATATTCTAATGTAGATGTGTGCAAAATACAGTTTAGTCGTCAAAGATGCATCATTTACATTTAAAGCCTCGAGAAAAAAATCCATCATACAAAAAAAATGACGAAACAAGACAGAAGTCGAATAGATCCGAGAGAAGGATACATTATTAGATTAATAAAGCATATTTCTGTGACTTATTGAATGCATTAGGACTCAAAAAGAAATAGAACAAAATTTTGTTGCTATAGAATTTTGAACAGACAAAAACTGTTAGAAAAAAGTCTTAATAAAAAGAAAATTTCACAAGTTGACACCAGAAAATAGGTTTTATAGTAAAGTTTCATTACTCTCAATGTCTTGTTTTTCAGAAAATTTTTTAATAATCATTTTTACTTTAAAAAAATGAGTTAACAATTAAAAACTTTATTTGCTTCTTCCTAGATCCTGGTACGAATATTACGAAATCAGCATGGTTTATCGGTACAATTATTTCACTTGTGGTATTAATTATTATTTTGGCTGTTGTTTGTGGAGTGATGAGAAAGAGAGGTGGAAAATATTCTGGTACGTACTATAAAGTCTACTGAAGAATACAGGGTTAAAAATAATATTTTACTTGGACTTAAATAAGAGTCTTTCAATGGATAATAAATCACTATTGCCGTTTATATACCCGCTTATTTTTTTCTTTATCTTATACTAATAGAAAATTGATTCATTTTTCATTTATAAAGGAACATATTTAGGTAAAAATACTCAATTTTCGTATATCCTAAGACCATAGCAGTTGTAGTCGTTTGATTTGTGCATGTGTTTCGACTTTCATAAGTATTATCCCATTATATTTTTTTACCACCATTTTTGTTTTCCACTAAATTATAGCACCGATAAAAGACAAAATGGCTCAGTATGATGCGGGTAAACCAAATAAAAAATCAGCATTATTCTAAAGCTTGGCTTACTCTCTTCAACAAAAACATTTCAATTACGCATAACTCTTATCACTATTCAAATCAAAGCTTTTGCCTGATATTTTCATACTATCATAATTTTATATTTAAAAAATGCTTATGCTTTGTTTGACATGATGTCGATGCATATGGGGATTAACGTCATCAGTTTGTAGGGCTCGGCTAGTCCAAGTCCGAACTGTAAGATTTTTTCGGTGGACTCGGACCTGGATTTATGTTTTTGTATTTCGAATTGGATCGATTCAACTTTTAACATAAATGAACAGAGAAATTTGCATTTTTTCAATATCAATATAGAATATATAGACGCAGATGTGTTACTGTCTTTACAAAAATTATTGGACTCGAAATGGACTCAGGACTCGGACTCGGACCCTCCACCGCACTCGCCCAGCTTTGCCAGTTTGCTACTAAGTTGAATTTGGTTGTATGATAAATTTTACCGAAGGTTCATCGGAGCTTTCTAGAGATCCAAGTTTCTGTAGTGAATATGAACATTTATATTAAAAGTCTGTCTTCATTGAATACGTTATAAAGTGTAGTGATAAATGGATCACAGTTGTCAGATTTCAAGTTATAAAAACTATTATACTTGTTTTTTTTTAATAAAAATCTTGCTTCACTTACACGCTGCATTCTCTTATAACGCTTATGAAAAATTGTTTATTAACAAAAGTCATTGCTCTGCTGAATATTATGGATGCTTTCTTTTTTTGGTTATGATTTTTATTCAGGATTTGTCACTGAAAACATTATGAATCTAACTTTTATTAAGTTTTAATCAAATAATAGAGGCATGCACACTGCATTGGGTCAGAAGTATGAATAATCTATCATGGTTGTTGCTTCTTAATATCGGTTGCTTATTATTCTTATTAAATATTGACCAGTTATCAAACTCTTAGAATGTTGTTTTGAAAAGCATGCAAATATTTTCAATTAATACTTGAATTGAGGATTCGTATGTGTGAAAATTATTTTTTCATTTAGTTCAAGACAAAGAAACATTACATGGTCACGACTATGGTCAAGATGATGGGAAATTTTCAGAATATTATCGAGCGTAAGTTGAAGAGATTTAATTGACCAATATTTATCTTAATGTTAAATGTTTATATTTTTTAGTCCAAGTGATGCATCAATTAAAAAGAGTACAACATCATTGGCTGATGGGCGCCAAGATGATGATCGGGATTCAATGGCCGAATTTGGTGATGGTCAAGATCGACAGTCTCGTTTTGCTGAAGATGGATCGTTTATTGGACAATATGGCAACGATGATAAACGGCGAACGTATCTTGTAAAATATGATGAAACAAATGGGGAACAACCGCCCTATTCAACTTCTGTGTAAGAGTTTATGTATTTGTTTGTTTGTTTGTTTTTTTATTCTCAAGGATAAATCTACAGTGTATTTTCTTTTTTGTATATAAAATTAATTTTAGTTTTTTTTAAAAATATTTTAATTTTGAATCTCGTTCTTTTGTTCTTCTATTTTTTTAACATAAATCTCGATGACGGCCACTATTTGTATACTAGACTAGAATCAATATTGTGTTTGTGTTACAGAGACTAAATTTTAGTATCTTGTTTCACTCGCTTTATATGTGACTCCTTTTTTTTTCCCCGCTCTTCAAAAGTGTTCTTTTATTTGCTGTACATTCGACTGACTGTTGCTGTTATTTCTTTAGACATAACTTTTTTTGACTTTTGCTGCCATTGTTCTGTTTTGTTTTTGAAGTTTATAATAATTAAATTTTGTACTGCCTTAACAGTTTTTTTCTAATGAAAAACAAAATAAGTATATTTTCCATTAATTTAATACTATGCTTAGGCTGATACTGTTGTTTTATTCTATTTATAATTTGTTCAACTAATTTCAAAGTAGGAGTAATCTAAAATTGTCAAAATCATCTTAAAAAAATACATTTTATCAACGCTTGCGTTGAACATCTCTAAAATCCATTAAATTGAGGATATTCATTCCTTTATTAATGAAGCGCTTAGGTTACGCGTTCAGCACATGTGTCTATAATTAAAGAGCATACATATTTGCTTATATCAATTGTTCTGCATATCAACCAACAATGACCGACAAGACAATATTACTCAAGTAAGTGATTTTTCTTATGTCTTTTTTCGATATATTTCTAACAGATCTATTTGACGATGTAAAGTATAATTCTGACCATAGCTCTAGATAAAAAGTTGTTGAAATGTGCAGTAAGTTCTAATAAAAAAGTTGATTATAAAATTGAACTGTTATATCTGAGGTGTAAACAATGTCGTCAAATAATCGAGTCGGATGAATCATATTTGTATGATGGTGAAACAACGGTACATATTAATTGTTATAAATGTACAAATTGTGATAATTCATTAGCCGGTCAATTTTATTATCGTTTTACTGATCCAAGAAATACCAGTGTAAAAGGAACATATTGTGAGGCATGCTATCTACGTATAGTACCAAAATGTTTCCATTGTTTACAAATAATTGACGATTTATCATTGACATACGGAGAAAAAATCTATCATATCAATTGTTTTCAATGTGATCTATGTAGAGAGTATGTTCTTAATTGATCAGCAACTATGTACCTATGTATTTTTGCGTTCGTTCTTTTAGCTATTCATGTAATCTTGAGTAAAAAAATTTTAGCATAATATCTTATGAAGAAGTATCATTTCTTTCTTATTTTAGCCCATTTAAAGGTACCCTACTGTATCCGTATGAAAATAAAGTATATTGTGCACAATGTTTTCGCACTGTACAAAAAGACTTTCGTCCAGCACCGACGAATATATTAGGTCAAAAATGTAATGTATGTCGTGTTAAATTTGAACCTGGTGAACAAATAACAAAACATGAAATTTCTGAAATAAATGAGACACGTTTTATACACAAATCATGTTTTGTTTGTGAACTATGTCATCGCTCATTAGCTAACTTGACCTATTACACACCAAATAATCATGATGAACAATTGTCAGCCGATCACATTACATTTCAATGTGAAAAATGTCATAGTGAATCGAATGACATTTGTTCAATTTGTTTCAAAATTTCTGACAATACAATGGTAATAAAACAAAGTAAAAATTATTTAATTTAAAAAATCTATGATTCTTTTGAAAAAAATCACGTTAATCATAAAATTCACGTGTGAGTTAGTTATCTAAGTTGAGTTACGATTATATGGTATTAAATCATCTTCTACCTCCATCAAAATTAATAAACTAGTGTAGATTTGTATTTTGTTGTTGCATTTCTTTTTTTAGATTATATTTAATAACCAATGGTTTCATGAGGTGTGTTTCAAGTGTAAAAATTGCAAATATAAATTAAAAAATTTGGCAAGAATTATTATTGAACCAGATGGTTTCATATGTGAACGCTGTCAAAAGCAATTGAAAGATAAAACACAACAATTGTTAAAGAAATAACAAAATAATTGAATAAATTAAATTGTATGTTTCATGAAAATTGTGATCACTTGTTTAATCAAGTAAATCTGACATTTTGTACCGAAAATATTGATCCAAACATTTAAAAATAATGTTGTTATTATTTCGAATCATAAAAGAATCGTAAAGTATTAATAGTTAAATTTGTTCTTCTTATCGGTAAAATATTTAACGACAACTTATTTCAATTCTAAAATAGTAGGCTGTACAATGTTGACTTCTTTTTCTTTAAAATTGTAAAACAATAAAAAAAGACTAGTATTAGACATTTTCTATCTAGCTTTTTCTCTATTTATTTACAATACCCTGCCTTGAAAAAAATACACGGTCTCTTACTGGTGATTCGGTTATTCACTTCCTATCTATTTTTGAAGAGAACAGAGTAATTTTCCCGGATAATTTTCTTTTTTCTTTTCAATATTCGTTAAGTCTACAAATGTTAGTTAGATGGCAAAAAAAAACCGATCGTCATGTTGAACATTCTTTTCTAAGTGATGAATTTAGTCATTTCGTGTATTGCAATAATTTTTCATCTGCATGTTTGAACATTCTCTTTTTTTGTGCATCCTCCTACATTGATCTGATTTTTTTCTTTTTAATTCTGATATTATCCAGGCTAGAAGATTTTCTGTTTTATTAGTTGTACACGATCTTTATAGGGAAAAAGTGTTTGTTACATCACTCAAGAAAAAAAAAGAAGAAATGGTGTTTACGTTAATTGTACACTGTGTATAATAGTAGAAAAAAAGAGAATAAATTACATATCACATTGTCAGTTGAAAGAGCTAACTGCACAAGTATAAACAATTTCAAGACTCTATCGATATAGTACTTTTACATTCGATAATAAATATTTATATTGATCGATACGTAAGTTAACAATATTTAATTCGATATTTTTGACCTTTTCTGACTTTTTTTGCAATTGACTATGAAAACCACAGTTAAGACATAAAAGAGCTCGAATTTATTGTATAGCCATGAAAAGAAGGGCTCTGAAGATGCGGATGATTTCATATTTCAAACGTTTCTAGAAATAGATAACACGTGCTTCGATAAGAAGAATTAGTAAAATTAATGCCAGAAGAAAGTGAAAAACGTATAAGAGATGTTGTTCGTAAACATTTTACTAGTTCAAGTTGGAAAGGACGATCTTTGATAATGACAGAAACTTTTGAGATATTTTTCACTACAAATCTTTCATTTAAGTCGCGTGGAAGACATTAAATGGAAAGTTCACATAAAAATCTACGTAGATCATCGATTCTACAGAAAAGGAGAAAAGTTTCCTTTCTCAAAATTGTCAACTAAGCATTACACCTTACCACAATTACATATATTAGTTGTGCATATATAGTTGATTCGAGCTAATTAGAAACATCTTTATGAGTATGTGGTCAAGCGTTATAATGATGAGGCGAGACTCTCCGCTTGCTGTTTAGGTAGCATTTTATTAGTTTTGCCTTTATTTATGATAAATTCAGAACTCCAAGTCGATTATCACTATCATACGATCACCATGTACCTTCGATTGATCCTGTCAATCAAAATTTAATTGATCATGTTAATACCAAATCATTACATCGAATGCCTTAATAAAGATTATTAGTTTAACGACTAAAGACGATTAAAAAAACTCTTAACAAATAGTTTGCAATTGTATATGGCTAATCATGACTACTAGTTCGAACATGGGCTAAAGTAAAAATCTGATTAACTTTTCTCTAAGTTTCTTTCATAATCTCAGTACTTTAGATATGCCCTAAGAACATGGCGTATGCTGATGAACGCTTGAAGTTTCTCAAGTACTTTGAGTACATAAAGTCAGTTTTTATTAGAGAAACCGATCTTCTACATGTAAATAGATCGCACTCTCAGCTATGGATGACCTGTATGATTTGCCAGTTTTTTAGACTTGATCTTTATTACTTAATTAAAAATTACACGAAAAGAAAGGAATTGATCATTTTTCTTTCTTAAAACAATTGTGATAATACAACTAGTTTCATGAGGGAACTGGGGTATCAATTTTTTTAATCACCAAACATTTTTAGATACAAATGGTCACCAAAAAAAAGATACTTTTGATCATCAAATTTTTTAGAAAATTGTGACATTTCATCATCTCTTGTGTGTTCATAATACCACTCACATTTCTTCATCTAACGCCAAATAACACCGTCGGCTTGGCTAGATATTTGTCGTTCTCATCAGTGGCTTACATTCAATGATTTTCTGATGTGGCAACAATCCTGTTGGCTTGTTGTACTATCACAATCATGTAGCTGTCCTATTGGCATGAAAGTATATTCGTGTAAACATTCTGTTGGATTAGCAATTTTATTTAACTTGTATCAAGTTAGCGATAAAACACGTATTCAACCATTAGGCAAACGAAAAGCTAAAGGGCATCCCAAGAAAGTTAGCACAGCTTTAAATTTGGAAATAGATATAAATAAAACTGTAAAAAATATTGTTCATTTGGTTAATATTTTAACGAATATGTTTGTATTGTACATTATACTTTATTGAGAAAAAAAAATGTGAGATACATGCTGAAAGATTTGGTGATCAAAAGTACATTTACTCGGGGAACTGTAATAATTTCCCATAAATCATATGGATAGACCAGGAACGACTTTCACCGTCTCTCAAAAAAGCGATTTGATAATCGAAATGGCAAAGTTGTTCAGACCCCTGAACTCTATCAGGGAAAAAACTTTTTGTACGAGTAATGGACATATTGTGAACGGGCTTGGATAAATAAAAATTTTCACGTACATTGTAAAATTCTCTTCCTATACGATAAAAAAAGCATATTTCTTTTTACTCATCTATACTTGAATAACTTCAAGGGACCATAATTTGATGCGCCACTTTCAAAGACTGTGCACATCAACAAATATATTCAGAACAAGTTGTTTTAGCTACTCCAATCAACGCTTTGACTAGTGAGCGAGTATTTTCACAAAAGATCTTATTCTGTTTGCTAAACGAACGAGAATACTACTGAATTTCTAAATCAGTTGGTGCAGAAATTTAATAAATCCGTCTGGAATTAAACAAAGTCAGTTTCAAGACGATCAATACTCTATATATCTTAGTGCTTTGATCGCTAACAAAATAAAAACTCAATAAGTTGGAGGCATGTTTCACACTTGTGAGCAAGCGTAAAACTTGTCCTTTATTCCGATAAGTAATTGATCTAGTAACTCGTTTCCATTTTCAAAAGTTAAAACAACGATGAGACTGCTGTTGCCGGTCAAGTACACCTCCGTAAAGAGTTTTCTAGAGATCTTACGAGGAAATGAACAATCGGAAATACTGAAAGCAGCGCGAAGGATCTTACAAGATCTAAAGTATTCTACTTACACATTCACGCATCATTTTCGAGCATCTGACTGACTACCGCTACGTACATGATCCTATACCTCTTAGGCAAGAGCAGCGCTGTGATGTTTTTCACGTGAAGCAAAGCTGCTAAATATTTGATTCTTGGTATGGTCACAGCTATTCATGACTCATCGAGTCAACAGCAGATTCTCATCTAATTTTTGAGTTTTTAATGATGCAACGTCATTGAATGGAAGTTTGAGAACTAAACAAGGATTAAATCGGACTTTTTATTTTCAGTTTTCTCGGCCCTGCTACGGTTACTGAGATATTCACTATTCTACATTACAGAAGGCGCTGTTATTATGGATATCTCGGTACTTGTAGTAGGACCGAGAAAAATGAAAACAAAAGGTGAAATCCCGTTTAATTCTCATCCTTGTTTAGTTCTCAAACTTCCGTCCAAGGAAGTTATGTCAATAAAAAAATAAAGTTCATTTTGCTTTCTCGTATTCAGCACACTTGATAACCCAGAATTTTGTATTTTTGGCGAGGAGTACTGCCAAAAGCCAAAAGTTGAAGAAAAATTTTAAAACAAAATGACGAAAAAAAAATTCCACAGGAAAATAATATTAGTTTTAAAATTTTTCTTCAACTTTTAGCAGTACCTCTCGCCAAAAATAGAACAGAGTGTACTGAATACGAAAAAGCACGTTTTCACGACTCTAAATGAACTTTATTTTTCTGTTGGTGATATGATCTGCAACAACACCATCTTGCGTTTCTGACGATGAAATACCATTTCTAGAGGACATCATGGCGTATCTCTTCTTAAAAACACAAGTCTCAAAAGCATATGTTCATTTTTCGAAGATAACGCTGTGACACATCTGTTTTCTCCACAATATTATTTATCACTAGTGACAAAATTCATATTGATTTACACTCTATCATTTAGTAAAATCTTATTGGAACAGAAAGCGAAATTTTAAAAAACTTTTAGAAAGATATCCAAAAGAAAATCACTAAAAAGTTTCAAAATCGAGAAAAACTTATTCTTTACGACCCCGACATAAAAGAATTTCGTTTAATTTTAAACCATTCCGGCTTGATGGTACAGTGAGATGGTTTTTGAAGTTTTGTAGAGTTACTTTTATGCCGAATTATTTAAATTAACTTCAAGTCCTAATTTTCGTTTGTTTTAAAGTTGTAATTTGTAATCTGCATAAAAAACGCGTTAAAACATGTGTCTAAAGTCAATTTGTAAAAAGAAGTTTAAAAAATCGTTACATGTTCAAGCCGTATAAAGATTTAT